CCTTTCCTCCTCCCCCTCCTCCCCCTCCCCCTCCCCCTCCCCCTCCTCCCCTCCTCCTCCCCCTCCCCCTCCTCCTCCTCCTCCTCCTCCTCGTCCTCCTCCTCGTCCTCCTCCTCGTCCTCCTCCTTCGGCATAGTACAAAACAATAGTGGTTCATACGTGTGCACTTCAACGGGAATCCTTCTGTGGACGGTTTCATTTGGAATCCTCCTGTAGAGGATTTCAATGAATCATTATGCCGAGGATTTCAACAGCAACCCTTCTTGTTTGGGAGTTCAATCGGAATCCTTCTGTAAAGGATTTCAATGGAAACTCTTCGATGTAGGATTTCAATGGAAATCCTTCTGTGAAGGATTTCGATAGGAACCTTCTGCGGAGGATTCCAATCGGAATCGTTCTGCGGGCGTTTCCAAAATAATCCTTGCGCGGACAATTTCGTAGGAGTCCTTCTGTGGAGGGTTTCAACGGGAACTCTTCTTGTGTAGGATTCCAATAGCTTCTTGTGGAAGATTTCAAGAGAAATCCGTTTATGGAGGGTTTGCATAATTTCAATATGAACGCAACGCCAAGACAATGCCAAGACACTGACAGTGCTGTGCCAGCGCTTTGCCAGCGCCAAGGCCCATCGCAACGCCAAGGGGCACCAATGCTATGCTGCCTTCCTGTGGAGGTTTCCAGTAGGAATCATTATGCGGAGGACTTTCAATCAAAATCTTTGTTTGTGGAGGGTTTCAATAGGAATACGATGCTAATGAATGCAAGTGCTACGCTAGCTCTTTGCCATCGCAAGGCCAATGCAATGCCGAGGAACACCACTGCTATGCAATTCTACGCCATGTCCGTGCCAATGCGTCGTCAGCACCGTGTCAGTGCAACACTGGCACTTGGCCAGCGCAGTGTCAATCCCCAGGAATGAACCTTGGTTTTCCCCATTGGTGTTTCACTAGAAATCCTTATGTGGATGATTGAATAGATGTCCTGCTATGGGGGATTTCAGTTGGAGCCGTCCGAGGAGGAATGTAATAGGAATCCTTCGATAAAAGGGCTTTAAGAGGAATGCCATGCCATTCGCGTCCAAGGCAATGCTTGTGCTATGCCAGCGCGTTGCCAGCGCAAGGCCATGCAATGCCAGAGGGGCACCAACGAATCGTTGTTCCGTGTTTCAATAGAAATCCTCATGTGGTTGATTGAACTAAGAATCCTGCTTTCGGGGCTTCAGCAAAAACCTTATGTGGAGGAGTTTCATTAGATTCCTGGTTTGCAAGCTTTCAAGGGGGATGCATGCCACCGCAATCCCAAGACAATGCTTGTGCTGTGCCAGCGCTTTGCCAGCGCAAGGCCACTGCAATGCCAGTGGGCACCAGTGAACCCTTTTCTTGTATACTTCAGTGGGAAACCTTATGTGGATGATTGATTCAAGGATCCTGATCTAGAGGGCTTCAATAGGAGCGTTCTGCTGGGGAATGTGATATGACTCCTGCTGTGGGGGATTTCACTGGGGGCCATCTGAGGAGGAATGTAATATGAATCCTTATATGAAGGCTTCAAGAGGAATACCATACACTTCGCGTCCAAGGCAATGCTCGTGCTATGCCAGCGTCGCGCCAGCGAAAGGCCATGCAATGCAACGGAGCACCAGTGAATAAGTGTCCCATATGTCAATAAAAACCCGCCAGTGGACGATTGAACTAAGAGTCCTACTTGCGGGGTGTCAGTTCGAACCGTCTGCGGAGGAATCTAATTAGATTCCTGATATGCAGGGTTTCAAGGGGAATGCATGCCACCGCAATCCCAAGACAATGCTTGTGCTGTGCCAGCGCCTTGCAAGCGCAAGGCCAATGCAATGCCATGGGCACCAGTGAACCCGTTTCTTCTATACTCCAGTGGAAAACCTTATGTGGATGATTGAATTAAGGATCCTGGTATAGAGGGTTTCAATAGGAGCTTTCTGCTGGGGAATGTGATATGAGTCCTGCTGTGGGGGGTTTCAATGGGAACCATCTGAGGAGGAATGTAATAGGAATCCCTGTATGAAGGCTTCAAGAGGAATGCCATACACTTCACGTCCAAGGCAATGCTTTTGCTATGCCAGCGCTGTGCCAGCGCAAGGCCATGCAATGCAATGGGGCACCAGTGAATAGTCCTAGGTCTCCCCATGCTGGGCGGTTTGAGCAACAACGCCACTAGATATAGCGATTTACGACACGTTGCAAAATCATTTCCCTTCGTCCTCCACATGCTCATCCTCGCCCCGTCCTCCTCCTCCTCCTCCTCCTCCTTTTCCTCCTCCTCCTCCTCCTCCTTCTCCTCCTCCTCCTCTCATTGTCCTCCTTCCTCCACCTCTTCTTCTCCAAGCGGGGCGAAATGCCCTCCACCTTGCAGTCTCGACAATTGGGTTGAGACGGATTGGGATGCAGTGCGACTTGCACCCCGCGAGAGAAGCAGAGGATGAGGAGCAGGAGGAGGAGGAGAGATAAAATAAGGAGATAAGGAGATAAGAATGAGGAGAGGAAGAAAATGAGAAGGACGACGAAGATGAGGAGGATGCACCCCCCCCCTCCCCAGTCCGTCGTTTGGGGGTGCTGGGGGGGGGGGGCAATATATATATATATATATATATATATATGTATATATATATATATATATACACACACACACCCTCCCCCACCCGGCCGGCGTCCAACCAGGAACCATGCCGACTCCATGCGGGCCTGCACCCCACCATCCTTGTCAACAGAAACAAACCGCACTCTGCCTCCACATTTGGAGCATGCGCGGCCAACCCGATGCGGCCCCCCACCATCCCTGTCAAAAATCATCCCAATGCGACCCTACCTAGGAGTTGGAGCATTTAGGAAACCAACATCTACATCTACACCGACACCTGCATCTATGCTATACTATGCTATGTTGCGCTATGCTATGCTATGCTATGCTGCGCTAAGCTAAGGTCGGCTAAGCTATGCTAAGCTAAGCTAAGCTAGGCCAGGCTAAGTTAAGCTAAGCTAAGCGAAGCCAAGCCGAGCCACGCTAAACTAAGCTAAGCTAAGCTAAGCAAAGCTAAACTAAGCTGATATAAGCTAAGCTAATATAAGCTAAGCTAAGCTAAGCTACGATGGGGTAAGCTAAGCTAAGATGAGCTGAGATAAGGTAAGCTAAGCTAAGCTAAGCTACGCTCAGCTAAGATCAAGCTAAGCTAAGCTAAGCTAAGCTAAGATGAGATAAGCTAAGCTAAGCTAAGCCAAACTAGGCTAGGCTAGGCTACGCTCAGCTATGCTCAGCTAAGCTAAGCTAAGCTAGGCTTAGCTGAGCTAAGCTAAAGTAAGCTAAGCTAAGCTAGGGGAACCCAAGGGGCGCAACTGGGGGAACCGCAGGGCGGGGACTGGGGGAACCGCCCGGGGCGGCCTACACTGCCTGGCCCCTTTAAGCAAAGAAAGTAAAAACCCTCTAGGCAGAGCCTAGGTAGGGAACAATGCAGAATACACTTTGGCGGAAAGTCTTGAGTCATGTTCGTGACGCCCACGAACACTTTGTAATCTTTTTGACAAGGACGGCGGGGGTGCCAGCATATTCCCTGCCGTGCGCAGGGCTACCCTCTGCGACAAAAAAGAATACAACATGCACCTCGCGGCTACATCTGGATCACGCGCGGCCATCCAGCGATCACTGTCGAATAGTTTTTGACCGGGACGGCGGGGGTGGTGGCGCGTGGCCTGCTGTGCGCAGGCCCACCAGACACAATAATGGGCAATTGATTTCGACAAGAATGGCGGGGGCCGACATGGTTCCGGATGTGTGCTGTCACGTGCGCAGGCGCACCTGACGCACTCTGCACGTGCTCCGAACATGGCACACCTTGCGCGGCTGGAGTGTGCGGCACACCTGGCGCACTCGGAGCACGTGGCGCCCTGGCACGCGTGGCGCACCTCGCCCAAGCGTCGCGCACCTGGGGTCGGCTTTGGTTCCCAGTAGCTGCCCATCCAAAGACGACCGCTGAACATGTTCAAGCTCGGGTGTTACTTATGTTTTGGGAGGGCGGGTGGGAGTGAGCTAGACGGCTTACAGGCGGGTGGGTAGCTTGACCCCTACCCCTACCCCCTCCCGTGAGCCTGGGAGAGGGGGGGGGCCGCGAGGCGTTAGAGCCCCAAAGATCGCCCAAGATGGCTCCAGGAGGGCCTCAGAGACCCCAAGATGGCGTCTACGATGGCTCAAGATAATTCAAGATGGCTCAAGATAGCCTCCGACGCACATCCAGGAGACCTCATGACGGCCCCAAGATGGTTTCAAGTGCCCTCCGAGCCATCCAAGGACCCCCCCTAGAGGCAAACATGGCTCTAAAACCTTAGGGTAGTTGATCATGTTTGCCTTATCGCCTTTTCGCTTCCGATGGGCCTCGGAGGCCTCAAGATGGCCTCAAGATGCCCCAAGAGAGTCCCAGGAGGAACCCAAGAGGGCTCCAAGACGGCCCCAAGAGCGCCCAAGAGCGCCCCAAAATGGCCCCAAGGCGCCATTCTTGAGCCTCCGAGGGGGAACCTGAATTTAAGCTTCCCCCTTCTTTTTGAATAGTGAGCCTAAATTGCCCCAAGAGGCCTTCCAGAGCCCCCCAAAGAGCCCCAAGAGGGGCAAGAGAGCCCCAAGAGGCCCCCAATAATGCCCGAAGTGACTCTGCGAGGACCCCAAGACAGACCCCAGATGGCTCCAAGAGATCTCCGAGAAAACACCTCCAAGGCGGTTGTTACACTGCATACTTCTACACTTCCCTGATCAAAGCAACTCGCCTGGCGATCTGTTTCTGGATTGGGCTGGTGGGGATACTTTTCCGTCGCAACCGCAGGCGAAGGCGCCAGCGGCGAGTCGAGACTGGTGGGGATACTTTTTCGGTCGCAGCCGCAAGCGAAAGCGCAGGCGTCGTCAAACGGGACGGGCGGGCCACGCGCGAACCTACTTGCATAACGCGCGACTGGTGGGGATACACGACGCGTCGAGAATTCGTATAAGCTGCGACGCATGGCGACGTCGTCGACGCCGTTGTCCTGACATGTCGACGACGACGACGACGATGAGAACGACGACAACGGCGACGACGACGGAGACAACAACAACGACGGCGACGACCACGGCGACGACCACCACAACGGCGACAACGACGACGACGACGCCGACAAGGACCGAAGTACCGCGCAGGTAGAAACTGTCCGAGGTCCGCGCGGAGTTCCTGGGTCGGCTCTGGACCCCCTCCCCGCACCTTTTCCCTGGCGCCGACGAGGACCTTCAGCGCCGACCCGAGAGAATCGAGCGGACCTCCGACGGCTTCTGCTCATCACCTTTTGAGGCTCTTCTGCGATGGGGGGAGCACCCGCACGACCTGAGTGGGGTCAGCAAGTGGGGACGAGGCCCAAGAGCCAAACATGCTGTCCAGCACCGACATCGGCCGCCGTTCGGCAGGCGACTGTCGTCTCGACACGGACACCGCCACCGGCGACACCGGCAACAAAAACGTGCGGGAGCTCTTTTGCCATTGGTCTTCGCCCCCACGATCCCCGCCCCCACTGTGCGGCCCACCTCCAGCTCACAGCATGAAGACAACCAGCGAGATCACGAGCGCCAAGCCTCCCCTGGCCCGGGCCCCGGGTACCGGCCTGCTCTCCGGCGCGGTGGGTGCGCGCGTGCCCGAGGACGCAGAGCTGCTGTCGCAGTGCTCGAGTCGCCGACCGTCCAAACCCCATCCCTCACGATCATTGCGTCTCAATAAAAAAAAAGCGTCGTGGCACTACCCAAGGAGGAAGAGGTGTGGAAGAAGGGAGAGGGGGGAACTTCGCGGCTCTACCTCTGCAGTGACACAATCTGCATAGATCCCCTGATTACGTCCTGGAAATGTTTTTCCCTCTCCATGTACTGCGTTCTTACGCACATGATTTCAAACATTGTTCGTTCACGTGGTTTTTCAAACCGAGATGTTTTCGGTATCTCAAATTGGTGCTCCCGCTGCATCGGTGGCCTCACTGTAAGATCGGCGCTTTGCTCGCATCGTTAAGAATTGGGTTCTCGCTCTAGTGGATCCGAATGCTTCCATGACGTTGTCGCACCGCCCCTTTTCCCTCATCCGCCTTTCCCTGGTCCTCCTGCCCCTCCGGCTCCTCCTACTCCTGCTCCTGCTGCTGCTGCTGCTGCTGCTCCTCCTCCTCTTCTTTTTATCCTCCTCCTCCTCCTCCTCCTCCTCTTCCTCCTCCTCCCTGCCGCATCCTCTTACCTGTCCTCATGCTTATCAATCACCACATCGTCCTCCTCCTCCTTCTTTTTCTCCTCATCCTTCTCTTCAAATGTACACATATCCCCTTACTCTCGAGCGCGAAAGATACCCGTGCCCTTACCTAGACAGGGTGGCAAAGGGGCCGGGGGGGCGGTTCGTTGCAGCTGACGGCGGCTGCACAAGTGTAGAAACGACAGCCGATCGAGCATTGCAGACGGCTGTCTTCTCGGGGCGCACGTTAGCACCGATCGCACGTGCGTTCGAATCGGCGGGGTGCCCGACTATGCGTTGGTTGTTGTCGATGTAGACCAGCTACTGCGGAGGCGCGCCCCCAGACACACATCCGGTCGTTGAGGGGTCAACGCGCACTCGGGGGCGCATGCGAACAACTCTGGCGCGAACGTCATTGCGCGACAACCGCCCTTATCGCGAATTGCTCGATGCAGAGACATCGCGAATCTGTGCCCTGGGCGAGATCGCCAGAGGCCGCCCCCCTTGGACGGCCGTCCGCGGATCACCCCAGCTAGGTACGGCTGCCCCATGAAAACCAACCGGGGGCCCAATACGCTCTCGAGCACATATCATGCCCTCCAGAGCCGTCCCCGACGTGGCCGCTGCGGCCCCCTGGGGGCGCGGCATTGCAACGTCGTTCCTCAGGGCAGGCGCCCAGACGCATTGGTTGCCAGGATCGCGAGGAAATGCAACTCTTTATAGATTGGGACAGGCGCCACCACATATGGGCGGTTTTGAGCCGCGCGCGCACCACGATGCCCCGAGACGCCCCTAACAAAAACCAGCGTTTGTCGCTGCAATCAGACACCCGACCATCGAGCGCGCCGTTGCGTCTTGACGCGCGGATGCTGCACTGGCGCGCGCGGGGCAAGCTGACTGGGCACAATTGCAAGCGCCCAGTCCCCCAGACGGCCCATCTCACCTTGGCTAGCCCTGGGTACGGGTATCTTTCGGACCAATGACTTACTTGATTGCGCATAGCAAGATAGGAGTCCTTGTGGGAATCCTAGGTGTGCTATGACTCACGTCGGCGGATATATAGAGAAAACAGAGCGCAATGAGAAAGGATGGGTTGGAAAAGACAGAACCCCCTTGAGTAAAACGTGGTTTAGTGTAAACGACCTTGGGCCCAAACTTGGCGGGCGCAAGCCTGGATAATGAAGTCGGCACCCTCTCGAGAACCGAAAACGGACAATTCACTAATCGACGCGTCAGGATGGCGGTTCTGTCCACCCCCGACAGATACGGCGCGAGCGCACCTAACTTGAAGATACTACTCTCCGTTCCCCCCTGATACCGCCCCGCCCGCTACACTTCTCTCCCGCTTGCTGGCGATCAACATACCATATTTCACACTTTGATGCTGTGTATGTGCCTCTTGCCAGTCGGAACACATTCGGTATTTCAGAAGCTGCGATCCAGCTGCAGCGTCAGAAACATGTCATGATTGGTGTATTTCGTGCGTCGCTCGGTTCACTCGTCTCAAGATCGGTGGATTTCAGGATGGACTTCTCGGCCAAGCGCGGGCCACGATCTCTGGATCCACATGAAGCCTTGTCGATTTCGTCCTGCTCCTGTCTCTTCGTCCATTTTCCCCTGATTGTCCTGCTCTACCTGCCGCTCCTGCTCCTCCTCCTCCTCCTCATCGAGCTCCTTCTCTTCCAATGTACAAAGCTCCCCGTTCCAACTGTGCAGCAAGCGACGGATCAAATCTTGCAACTCCCATTTGGGGATCAATGTCCACTTTAAGACTCCAGCTGGCGGGCAGGAAAGGATTCAACGCAATGGGAAATAACGGGTGGGATAGGTAGGATGTCAGACGTGGCGCGAGCACACCTAATCAATTTGCCCCCTCCCTCTCACTCATATGTGCTCATATGCTTTGCTATCCCTCCCTCTCTCACACACGCACGTACTCACTGCTTCATTCTCTCTCGCTCGCTCGCTCTCTCTCTCTCTCTCTCTCTGTCTCTCTCTCTCTCTTTCTCTGTCTCTCTCTCTCTCTATATCGTTTCTCCATATTAAGTTTTTCTGCCTACCTCTCTCTCTCTCAAACACTCTCCCTCTCCCTCTCTGTCACATTCTCTCTTTCCATATTTCTCTCTTCTCCATTCCTCTCCCTCCCTCTCCCTCTCCCTCCGCTTCTGCCTCCCCCTCTGCCTCTCCCTCTGGATCTCCCTCTCCCTCTGCCTCTCCCCTCTCGCCCTCCCTCCCTCCTCTCCCTCTCCCATCCCCTTTCGCCCGGCTTCCGAGCAGTGCCTCATGCCACTCCGGCCCTCCCTGCCGATCAGCAGCCGCGCCAGGGTCCGCGACTCCGGGGGCAGGTCCTCCGACAGGACGGACCCCTGACAGTTCAGGCCGAAGAGAACCTCTTCGCTGGAGGAGTGGCGACCACGGCGACGACAATGCTTGGCCATGGGAGGAGGATGAGGAGGGGCTGTATGCCCCTCCCCTTCTCCCCCCACCCCTCTCCCCCCAGGGGCGTTTCGCGCGCGCTTTGGTCCTTGCCGCGCCCAAGGAACTCGCACCGCAAGTCATCAAAAGGAACGCAGGGGTAATTCTGGAGTTCCTTCGGCGGGGTGGAGGGACCTGCGGCAATCGAATTGTTGGATCCCGGCGACGTGTCGGGGAATCCTGAGGCTTCTTCTGCGCTTCTTGCGCTTGCCTGAACCCACTCGGGGACTGAAGGGAGGAGGAGCTGAACAAAGAACACCGGTGCCCGAGTCTGGCTCCGAAATGCACGTCGCCAGTGCCAAACCACAGAGCATCGAAGGCCGCCCCCTCCCCTCCACGCATCTAAGCACGGCACGACGAAGACAACAAATCTTGGCCGCACTTGCAGGGTCTCAAATTCGATGACTCTGGTTTCTCGGGGGAATCATTGAAACAATTCCGCGACACCTCCAGCCGTCTTTGGGCCGTCTTGAGAGCCTCGTGGATGCCCGATGGAAATGCAGTATTGGAAGTCTTTCTGGACCGTTTTGAAGCCGAAGGCATCCTGGGCCATGTTGAAAGTCTCTTAAGGCCGTTTTGAAAACCTCGTTGGCTGTCTTGGGGCCCTCTCGGGGCCGTACTGGGGCCGTTTTGGGCCCATCTTGTGCCGTCCGAAGGTCCTCTTAATCTTTTGGGCCGTCTTGCGTTCCTTCGGGTGCCCGTTTAAGCCTTCTTGGGCCCCTTTGGGGGCCCTCTTGGAGCTCTCTTGAATCGTCCTAGGCCCATCTTGGACCCTGCTCGGTTTCCCCTGGGGTCGTCGGCGACCTCAAAATTCCGTGAAACACCGACAGCCCCAAATGGAGCCCCACAGTGCCAAACTCATAGAATTCCCACGGTTCTGCGCAGATGTTCACACTTTCGCCTCCTCAGGCCTCCCAGCGCTCCAAGACGACTTGAAAAGCCCCCCACAAGGATCCCAAAACGGCCCAGCAGGGCCCCAAGCAGGTCCCAAGACGACTCATGAACGCCCGAAAACAACGGAAACAAAAACCCAAAACGGCCCCCAAGACCCCAAACGCCCAAGACAACCCAAAAGGCTACAAAAGTGCCAAAAAGCAGCCTGGGACAGCCCACGAAACCTCACTGTTATGGTGTGATCCATGCGGAAATCACCATGCGCGCTGCGCGCTAGCACGCTAGCCCAATTGATTGACATATGTTATAACCCATAATTACTTGGGAGTCCAATCGGCCACCGCTAAAGGGTTCACTCTCATTACCAGGACACCATGGCGACGTGTGTACTGTGGACCGCGCAGAACGCACCCCGCGCGCACGCGCGCGTCGCACGCTGGTATACTGGATTGGCACGTGATGAGACCCATGTTCACTTGCAGCTCCAAACGGTCACCGGTACGGGTTAAATTCGCTGTCCAAGACAACGTGGCGGCCACGCGCGCGCGTACGCGTGCGCACGCGCGTCGCATGCCCATGCATTTGCTTGAAATGTAACCGAACCCATAACAAGTTGGAAATCAAACTGGTCGCCGCGACGGGCTCACTTCGCTTTCCAGACAACAGGGCGACTATAGTATTGTGGACCATCTAGAAATCACCGCGAGCGGCCGCGCGCGCACGCGCGTGCGCGCGTCGCTTGCGGGCCTGATTGGTCAACATCTATTGGAACCCATATCAACTTGGAAATCCAATCGGTCACCGCTAAGGGCCCCCTTCAAAGTACAGGACATCGTGGCGACCTTCTCCATTGTGGACCATACGAAACGCACCGCGCACGGCCGCGCGAGCGCGTGCGCGCGAATGCGCCCGTCGCGCGCTGGCCCACTTGATGGACACGTGATGGGCCCCATGCGGACGTGGAAACCAAATCGGCAAACGCCAAGGCTTCACTATCATTTCCAAAACAACATGGCAACCCTTGTGCTGTGGACCAAGCCAAACTCACCACGCGCGGCCGCGCGCGCGTCGCATTCTGATCCACTTGATTGACACGTGTTAGAACCCATGGTGATATGGAAATCCAATCAGCCACCGGTGAGGGTTCATTATATTTCCCACGGCAGCATGGCGACTTTGCCATTTTGGACCATGCAGAACTGACCGCGCGCGCACGCGTATGCGCGTCGTACGCTGGCCCGATTGATGGACATGTGCTGGGGGCTTTGTGAACTTGGACATCCAGCTAGCCGCCGCCAGTCCACTTTAGTTTCCAAAGCAGCATGGCGACGTTTCTACTGCGGACCAACAGAACTCACCACGTGCGGCCGTGCGTGCGCGGGCGCGCACACGCGTCGCACGCTGGTCCGCCAAATAGACGTGTGATGGGAACCATGTCGACTTGAAAACCAATTCAGTCACCGCTACGGGCTCACTTGAGTTCTCAGGACGCAATGGCGACTTTTGTGTTGTGGACCATACTAAACTCACAGCCCGCGCGGTGGTCCACTAGATCGACATGTGACGACATCCATGTTAACTTGGAAATCTAATCGGCCACCGCTAACCGCGCGCGCATGCGCGCACGCGCGTCGCACGCGGGTATGATTGGTTGACATTTGATGGAACCCATGTTGGCTTGGAAACCCCATCGATCACCACTACGGAGCCACTGCTGCTTCCAGGACAACATGGCCACTTTTCTGTTGTGGGCCATACGGAGATCATCACGCGCGCCCGCGGGTGGGTGCGCATGCGCCAGTCCGATTGGTTGGCATGTCCGAACCCATGTAAGCTCGGAAATCCGACTGGGCACCGCTACGGGTTCACTTTGGTTTCCAAGACAACATGGCGACGTGTCGGCTGTGGACCGTGCAGAAATAACCAACTCACCACGCGCGGCAGCACGCGCCTGCGCGCGCAAACGCGCGTCGCACGCGGGTCCAATTCATCGGCTCGTGATGGACCCCGTGTTAACCGAAAATTCGAATCAGTCACCTCTAAGGGCTCACTTAAATTAAAAAAAAACACATGGCGACCATTGTGATGTGAGCCATACGGAACTCACCAAGCGCGGCCGTGCGCTCGTCTCTCGCTGCTCCACTTGATTGCAATATGATGGAACCCATGATGCCTTGGACATCCAGTCGGCCACCACCAAGGGTTCGTTCTAGCATCCACGGCAGCATGGCGACTATTTCGGGAGCGGCCAAGAGGGGGGGGGTCCAAGAGGGGGGGGGCGCAAATCATGACCGGCGGCATGTGCGCGGCCCAGCGGGGGGGCCAGGGACGTAATGAAATGAGAAGAGACGCCATTAAATCTGGGGAAATATCATGGCCGCCGCCATGATATCCCCCCCCCCCCTAGTCATCACCCCCCTCTTTTCCGCCCCCGACTATTCGGATCCTGTCTACTGTGGACCAGACAGAATTCACCACGCGCGGCAGCGCGCACGCGTATACGCGCCTGCACGCGCGTCGCACGCCTGTACGCGCGTCGCACGCTGCTCCACTACATGGCCATGTGATTGAGCCCATGTTGACTTGGAACTCCAATCGGTCACCGCTCAGGGCTCACTTCGCGTTCTAAGGAAACACGACGACGATCCTATTGTGGGCCATACAGAGCTCACCACGCGCTGCCGCGTGCGCGCGTCGCAAACTGGTCCCCTTGCTCGTTACGCGATGGCACCCTTGTTAATTTGGAAATCGTTCTGAGAGCGTTCTGGAACGCTCTGGAACGAACTTATCCTTGCCCTAGCCCCGGCCGGACACCGCACCGTTCAGGCTCCCCCGGAATTTGCAGTGGGGGGGGCCCGCGGGGGGGCGGGGGAGCGCCGGGAAGTAGCCGTCGGACGCGCCGAAGGTCCGCGACTCCTGCACCTCTGGAGGTCCGAAGGGAGGCAGCGGAGGGGCGAGGAGAGCCCAGACCTCGGGGAGATGCATCCCCCTGATCCTGGCGTCTCCCCCGTGCTCTGGCCTCTGGCAAGCCTGCGCTAGACCGTATCGCGAAACCGTAACGGATCCAGATCGTAAACGGATCGGATCGCTACAGTCGGACCTAAGGCAGAAAAACACCCCTCAAGAACATGAGACCATCCGTCGGCCAAAACAAGACAGACCATCTCGGGGTACCCTCCTCAGGATGCACAAGAACATCCAACAAAAACACGAAGAACACAGGGGCACCCTCCCCGAATCGGCCTCGATCTTCTACCTCGGTCCGACTGTAATGGATCGCCTCGGATCAGATCGAAATCAGCTCGCCCGCGCCCAGCTCTGGTGGGCCCTGGCAGATGAGGCGACTAGGACCAAATCAAATCCAATGGGACTCGCGGCTCCAACCAGAGAGTCGAACCACGTCAGCGCGGGTCGTGGGCGACCCTGCCTCCGGTGGCCGTTCCTCGGCAGGGCCCTCGAGAAGGGATATCTGGGACTGCAGGCCGTCCGCGGGCAGGGGGTCGCCCCCTACTGCGTGGAGCCCGCGGCTGGAAGGGAATCGATCCCTCGGTGGTATGGGGATGGCACGCGTCTGATCGGACGCCCGAGAGCGTCAAGCCACACTGGTAGGGGCGGCGGGATCGTGAAGCATGCCAATCACGACGCTCAACAGGTCGCGCCGCGTCGGCGAGCACCAAGAAAGTGGCGAAATTGGCGGCTTTTCACGCGTCGGGCCCTGGGATGCGATACTCGTTCGGTACGTCGTGCCCGGCAGACGCTGCTTCGATGCTTTCCTGGGCGCTCGGAACTGCTTCTGGGGTGTAGCCCTTGCGGGTATGGGGGAGGGGGCAGCATAAGCCAACCCTGCAGCCACACCGAGCCTGGCCAGGCCCGTCCTGGCCCCACGATGGGTGCAAGCACCATCCAAGCTCGGCCACGGAGGCATGCACGCGCCGACCTGGGGCCCAGGACGACTCTTCCCCCCACATCTTCTCCTCTTGCCCCTCGTGCCTCCTGCCTCTTTCTTGTCCTGCTCATCGTCATCCTCGTCGTCCTTATCCTCCTCGTCCTTCTCTTGCTCCTCTGCTGTCGTTGCTCCTCTTGCCCCTCATCCTCCTCGTTCTTCTCTTACTCCTTTTCCTACCATCCTCTCACACCTCCTCTGCCTGCTGCCGCTCTCTTTGTTCTCCTCCTCCTCCTCCTCCTTCTCGATCCTCCTCCTCCTGTTTTCTTCCCCCTCCTCCCCCCCCTGCCGTTCCTCCTCCGTCCCCTCCTCCCCCTCCTCCTCCTTCTCCTCCTGCCTCCGAGGCTGGTCCTTCTCTTCGCCCTCCTCCCCCTCCTCCCTCCCTCAGTCCCTCCTCCTCTCTCCTCCTCCCTTCTCCTCCCCCTCCTCTTCCTCCCCCTCCCCCCTCTTCCTTCCCCTCCTCCCTCCTCCCTCTTGCCCCCTTTTCCCTCCTGCTCCCCCTCCCCTGCGATCCGCCGCTGGGCGCCGCACCGCCCCCGCCGCGAACGCCAGCATGGCAGCGGCGGCCGCCGCCTTCGGGGGAAGGGGGGGTGGGGGCAGCAGCAACAGGAGAGGGATGAGGAGCAGGTTGCAGGGGAAGGAGGGAGGTAGGTAGGCAGGGAGGGAAGGAGGATGAGGATGGAGACGAGGAGCAGCAGGGGAGGGCGGAGGAGGAGGAGGAGGAGGAGGAGGAGGAGGAGGAGGAGGAAGAGGAGGAGAGGGAAGAGGAGGAGGAGGAGGAGGAGGAGGAGGAGGAGGAGGAGGAGGAGGAGGAGACTGACTGACTGACAACCCTGGGCGAACGAAGGTACGAGTGGTCTGCGTGCTACCTTGGGATTCGCTGGGCGGCATGCCTGAGTGGCTGCAACGTTGCTACACACTGGCACTGGTGGAGAAATACTCGGGCCCCCTGGCAACCCAACAGGTTTGAGCGCAGGGCGCAAGGGTGGCGGCCCACGCGATTGTCACACCAGAGAGATTTGGAACGACTAGCACCTCAACCTATGACGCAGGGCCCCAACGGCGTCCCACCTCACACGGCTACGAGCGAGGCAACCCCGAATCTCTCCCTTGTTCTGGGGGACGATTTTGTATCCCCCTACCTTTACCTTTGGCCCGTCCCTTAGGACGCGGCTGAATTTTAGCGGTCGGGATGCAACGGCCCCTGGGATCCTCCAGAGCGGATTCGGAGAGGGAGGAGGTGAAAGAGGCGAGCACAGCTTCTCGTCTAACAAAGCCTCTAGAAACCAACTCATTCAGTCGCTGACTGTCTGCAAGGCTCCTCATCCTTCTCATTTCGGTCTCGCCTGGCTGGGCTCCAGCTTGTTCAAGAGCGCTCGCGCGTCCCCCTCCAAAGCCCCACGTGGGGCTGCTCCTACCAGAATCTCCCCTCCGTGTCTGGCGATCTCCGAGCGAATGGTGCCTTCGAGCTGTTGCGCGATGTCCGTATACGCCCTCCCTCCAAGCTCCCTCTTCACAAGCCCCTACAACGGTTCATTTCCATTGAGGGAACTGCCTCGTTCGAAGGCAACCGCTTGAAGACCTTGAAGCATGTCAAAACTTTATGCTCGGGATTCCAACGCCACGGACGAACCTGACTGTTGTGTCTGGACGATCCTGAACCGTGCCAGAACGCCATTCCTGGGTCATCAACACAACGAACCAACGTAATTAACTGTTGCACTCGCGTAATCCTGAATCCTTTCAACACACCATCGTTGGTACACTGATGGTGGGAACCAATGAAGCTCTTGCAATTTTCGTAGATGAGAATGCGTGGCGCTAAAGCGAGAACCACATTTGGAAATGGAGCTACGTTTAATAGCTGAAGACTTTGTGAACACTTGAGACGAATGTGCGCCGCGCTAAGGCGAGAACCACATTTGGGAAAAAGTCGCCCGCAACATGTGAAACCCTTGTAAACTGTTAAAAAGCATGTGCGCCGCGCTCAAGCGAGAACCACATGTTGAAAACGACTCGCCCTCAATCCATGAACCTCTTGCATTTTTTACAGAAATAATGCGCGCCGCGCTAAGGCGCGAGCCACATTTTGAAAACCACCCGCCCTCAATCCCTGAAACTATTACAAATATTTAAATCGAATGCGCGCCGCGCATAAGCGAGAGCCACATGTTGGAAACGACCCGCCCTCCATCTGTGATCTCAGGCGAAACGCCCGCACCGCCCTAAAAACTGGCCTCGGGGTGCGACAGGGAGAAGATACTTGTTAGGAAAAGGAATGGAGAAAGAGGAGGAGGATGAGGTGGATCAGATCAGATCAGAAAGCTCGTGGAGACCAGGTCAAGCCTGGGCACGCCTTCCATTCGCGCAGCATGCGGGAATTTACCTCCGCTCTTGGGGGGCAACCCCATCTCCAGACGGGAAAGCACCTCAGCCCCAGCCTTCGTGGGGGGGCGATCCGCCTTACAAGGTCGGGCAAGACTCTGAACATTCACAGATGCACGAGCACCACAATGGGCAGAATACCAAACACCTCGCAACACACTCAATCGGTGGTTCGTGGCACAACCTGGACAGAGAGGGTGTGTGAGCGGGTCAGAAGACAGATGGGCAGGGCCAGGACAGGTTCCTGGACGAAAGTCCGGGACGCGACCCTTCAGACTGAACCTACGCGCACACATCTGACACTTCAAAAACAATCCGCACATTCTCGGCCCATGGTGGCCAGCACTCCGCAACCTCTGTTTCCTGACAAGGAAGGAGGGGATAGGAGGTGGGCGCGGCGGCGGGCGGCCGAGCCTGTCAGAAGTCCTCTTTGGGTTGGCCTGGACAACTTCCTTGTGGATCGCCAACAAACGATCGAGCGTGTGAGAAGTTGTCCTATCAACAAACTGGGTTAGAACAACCTGCTCTGGGGTGGGGGCCGAACGCTCCGCAGCCCATGCAGCAAAATAATCAGCGCACCAATTCAAGAAAAACTCCTCCTCCCCTATGGCGGATTGGGCCCGCTGTTGGGCCGTCGAGTGGCTCTTGACCCACAGGACCTCGACCCGACCAGGGCCCCGATCATCGAGAGCCGACCAGATCCGAACCCACAGATCGAGCATGGTACTACTGGCAACTACCTGAGCTCGTGGCTGCCTGAGCCCGTTCACCAAGGGCAGATAATCAGAATAATATAATACATCATCAACAGTATGCGTGATCACCATGAGGAACGCATAGAGTTCAGCACGAGGACTCGACGGTTCAGCAGTAGGGAGACTACCACACATAACTGCATTGAGCTGGAGGGAGAGCCCGTCGGGGCAGCCCAAACTCACGATCGACCGCCCACATCGACGAAGCCGTTTATCAGTAGCATACTTTCCACCAGAGCCATCAAGGCCTCACATTCCTCCTGGAACACGTAGCTGAGCCCTCAAGGTACGCCCTTTCCAAACACTCGACTGTAGAGGAGGTAGGTGACCACGTGAGGCATCCACTGATGGGACCCCGCGGGTGAAGAAGGCACTAGCTGAATCTGCATTTTGAGCATCCTCGACAAGGTACTCGCTGCCAGAAATGCTGGGACATAGCAGCAACGCATTGGAAGGACAGCCCCGGCATCGGTGAAGAGGCGTTTCACGCCCGTCACCACAGCGGAAGCATTTGCCCGAGGTTAGATATCCACTATCCTCAATACGGCTCTCTGGCCAACATGCACCAACCACAATCGTCGCAAGAAGAGCAGCACTCTTGTAGCCGCCGTCGTCCAGCAACTTCTTATGCTTGGCGCGAAACACAGTCAGATCAGCACCAGTAGCGAGTCCTTGCCCGCAATAGTGCTGACTGGCCTGGGCCCACACCTGGGCAGAACACTTAGCACGGAGAGCAGCAGTGACATGATAACGGAAATCTAGCGATGTCATTCTCAATGGTTCACTTCCGTCAACATGCCACTCATCAACTTGGCGAGGGTCCCAACCTAGGTCGAGAACAATAGCAAAAAGAGCAGCAACAGGGCCACGAACCTGGCGCCACCTATCAGACGGGGAAGCTGTTATCATCTCCTGCCTGAGGGACTCCCAAACCCTTCGAACTCCAGCTCGAAGACCTTCAGAAAGGGAAACCCAAACTTCCGAAACCAGAGTAAGTTGTTCAATGCGCAACCGATAAACTGGGTCATCTTTGGTGCCATGCAACACTCTCAGCACTGTGGTGGTACACGCCCCAGAGGGCCAGAACCCAGAACATGCCGCAGCCGACGATCGGATCTGTCGCAGGGCCCCAGGTGGCAGACCAAGTAGAGCATGTCCCCAAGTTCCCACGGAGAGGATCCCAGGTTTGAAAACCTTCCGAGAGGCCCCACAAAGCCTAGCAAGGTATGCTAGCTTACGCCCACGCCGAAACGATATGGCACGGCGCTGCTGGATCTTCCACGTGGCCCTCCTCTTGTGGGCGGTGGTGACCGAACCGAGATCCTTGACAGTGGGCGCGAACTGAATAGAGACACCATGCCTCGTAAACTCGTCCTCCAGGAGCCGCTGCAGCTCCGCGGAAGAGGCGACGGCGACCGACTTGGAGCTGAGAAAGCATCCAAGCTCAGAAATATCATGCTGGAAGGAAGCAGCAGCCTGCGGCAGGTAGCGACATATATACTCAGCAGTACCTTGCATATACTGGGTGCTGTCATCTACATATGACCTGATGGGAACACGAACATGTGGAAGATCTCCAGGGCCTCGAGGGATCTTATTGTGAGCCTTCTCCAAAACTCCGTACAGGTAGCACTTTACCCAGGGCGTGCTTTGACTACAGCCCGCCAGAACAGACTCCCCAGACATCAACACTTTCGATAAGCTTCCAGGCGCCTCCAGGAGCCTCGGAGCAGCGTGGGTGAGGAGCCCCAAATGCAGCAGGTGCCCAGGGTGCCCTTGATTGGTGGCAAAGTGCAGGAGCTTACTAGGGCTGACAGAGTCGAAGAACTTCTCGAGGTCCCAGTGCAGGGCGCAGGAGAGGAAACCACACGCATGGGTCACTTCATGGGCCAGCTCCCGAAACAACGCAGCCTTCAAGGCCGATGAGCCCTTGGCCGCCGAGTCCCAGAAGTCCAGGTGAGCCTTATTCCACTCGTCAATGTCGAAGCCCCGAGCTTTGCAGTTGATCCGATACATGCTAGGACACTTGACGACAGCACATTCATCACAGATGGACTTAGGGAGCATGGCCATGAGACAAACATAGCATTTCGGAGGGAAACTCAAGGTCTCCTCCACGGTGCGCAAGATGCCCGTGAACGCTTCGAGCGAGTCGATCGGGGCAGACAGAAAGGTACGAGGCGACCACATATCAACACAAACCGCCGTGGTTGCCTTGTAACAGGTACATGCACGAGCAACCTCAGGAACCCCGAGAGGATCAATGTCCTCTAGGGCTACCATGGCCTGGGATCGCAACTCGCTCAGGCCTGCATTCAGACAGGCCAGACGCTGAGGAGAGGGGGTCCACCAAGACTTCCACATACTCTCACGATAGCTCATCATGGTCATCCGGGTATTGACAATGCCTTCAGATGTTTCAAAGTATTCAACCCAAACCTTCTCCTCAGCCTTCAAATAGCGATGGGCGGGGCTAGCACCTCGGGGAAGAGAAGCCTGAAGCCACTTGCGCATACTGGCCTTAGTCTTAGCATGGGCAATCGTCCAGGATTTAGCACAGACAACCGCACAAGCATCAACCAAGTTCCTGAGGGTCTCTGGGTTCCTCGGGGGGTTGTCGAGCATCTCATTCGAACTTTCAGCATCTTCGGGAATCTCCAGAGGCTCAATATGCGCACACACATCTTCACTGAGTGCATACAAGACGGCACGATGCTGCCGAACAGCGTCTGAAAAAAAGGAGCTTTGCAAGTTAGCTTCCACAACTCGTGCAGCCGGGCAGAGATAAGCGACCAGTAAGACAGATCAGGATTCCGAAAACTCTGCGCCTGCACACTGCGAGTCATCAGAGATACGTCTCTGCGCTTTAGAATACTGCCGCGACCGAGGTATCGAGGGCGATTGGTGATAATGGCACACGCGCGTGAACAAGCTTGCAACTCCATAGCCCGAGACCAAGTCAGATATTGCATACCTAACTCACAAATATTCCTTTGAGTGCTCATTCATGGCCTCGTGAAGGTCCTCAGGCATGACGAGGGGGGCCTCCAGGAACTCAGGAGCGGCAGCAGCCATATAAGTAAGCCAGTGATTATCAGGACCATAGGCCTCAGGGGTCTCCAGGGGCTTAACTCTCTGGCACTGGGGCTCCACCGTGGCTTCCAGATCCAAGACAACATCCAAGCGCGCGTGCGTCTTGAACGGGGACCCCAGGTCGGCAGACACCGTAAGGTAGGGAAGAGCAGGTGGGAGCAGAGCACATAGTCAATCATCGCCTCACCGACGGTGCAAGTGAACCCAACATTGCTGGGAACAAGTGGCCTAGCACCCAGGAGCTCCGGGATCCCCGCATCCCTCAGAAAGTCAACCGACATGTTGAAACCTCACATCAGAAGCCAGGGAATCGAGAGGCCCCGAACAAAGTCAGCAACTCCTCGAAGCCGATCAGAGTCGAGCCCAGACACTCCAATAGACGGCAGCAAGTAGATCACACCCACAGCAAAAGTGCACGATTTCAACCGCATTTCCAAGAAGAACCAGCATTCACCTGATCCTACCCGAACCGCTGCTTTCAATTGAACGAGAAACTTACGAAAGCAGAGACGTGACTGGTCATGCGCTGCGACTCCACCATGTGTGCCTCCACCTGGTGATGCCAACGCATCCTGAAAGTGTGGGGACCACTTCATAAGTCGACAAGTCTTCTTGGCCAGAGAGCAGCCTGGCCCTCGCAGATGGTGCTCAGCCAGGAATATCCCATCAACCTCAGAAGCCTTAGCTGCGAGAAAATCCTGAGTGAGCTTAGACCATTGCGTTGCATTGACAAGCTTTTTTTATAAAAAACATGCTTAAGGGGCAAATGAGGCGACGCCGCCACAGGGGGCGGAGGAGGCGTGCTAAACAGAGGGCTGGGCCTCAGAAGCAGCCGCGCCTCCACCAGCAGCACCTCCTGGCGGGGCAAACCCAGCCCCGTGCTGGCCCATCTGCTTCGCGGTGGCGTTGCAAAAGGCGCGGTACATGTCGCAAGTGACGCTCTGGCTGATGCGAGCGCGCTTCGTCGACTTAGCGATGATGCGCTTCTGGATGAGGTCGGCGTACTCCTTTGCGGCATTATCGTCAAGTCCCGTGTAAGCAGCACGCTTTTTGAGCTCACGAAGCTGGTCACGCCCCCCTTGCCCAAGGTCGCCTTCACCGACCTCGCTGCCCATGTCAGAGGCGGCGTCGTCAGCTGCAGGGGATCGCATCCGTTGAAGGTGGAGTCGATACTGCTGCCATTGAGGAACCAGGATGCCCGAGTACTGCACGAGCTTGGACAGGTCATCGTCGGTGAACTCGTGCAGGTGAGCCTCCACGTAGGTGTAGTCAACCAGCATGCCGCGCAGCCAAGGAACAATATCAACATCCATGCCCTCGTCCTCGTGGGCGGCCGCTTGGCGGGCGCCAAAGGCGCCGCCAGTCCGTCCGTCCTCACCAGCAGGCGGGGGGCGCCATCCCCGCCTGGTGCTGGGCCTGGGCGGACGGCACCCGCGGCCGCCTGGGCTTGGGCCTGCCGCTGCTCCCGCAGCCGCCGCTGCTCCTCGACCTTCGCCGTCTTGTAGGCCACGACATCAAAGGCAGACTTGGCAGTGTCCGCCTCGCGCGTCGCCTTCCTGGCCACCTCGAGCTGCTGCTCAGCCTCGGCGTGGTTCCTCTGCATCTCCTCCATCGTAGCCTTGGCCTTGTTGTAGCGGTCCAGCCGCCACTGGACCTCTTGATACGCAAGACGCTCCTTTTTGGTGGCCGCCTCGCACTTCTTTGCCAACTCGGTCTGCTCAGCCGCAGCGAGCCGATCAAGCTCGCTCTCCGAATACTCATGAACTTCAGGAACAGGGGGAGGCGCTGCATCACGAGCAACGCCTGCGAGCGCAGGGTCGTGCACAGACCACTTCTGCAACTCTTGGACCAGCTGAGGTGGCATAGGCACCGCCGCAGCGCCTGGAGCACCTCCAGCAGGGTCCCACGAGGCAGAAGCAGGACCAGATGCATGAGAACAGTACTGACCACCACACTTGCTGCACGCGCGATGGCCATACCGAGTGAACTCCCAGTGATTGCATATTGAGCAGACCTGGTAGGAGTTGTCCTTCTCCTTGTTCTTCTTCTTATTGGAAGCAGCGGGGGCAAAGGGCTTCCACACCCATGCGCCTCCGCCGCCGTCACCGCCAGCATGCCAGGGGGCGCGGCTGCGCCAGGCCATGGCCGAACACGGGCGGTGTACAGGAAGTGCCGAAGAGACTGCCAGACCACCAAGGGTCTTGCCTGCCGCGGACTAGCGGTATCCACTTTGTCCCAAGGGGAACAATGCATCTTGAGCCAAAATGGCTACGGAAGGAGGATGAGGTGGAGGAGGAGGAGGAGGAGCAGGAGGAGGTGGAGGAGGAGGAGGAGCAGGAGGAGGGGGAGGGGCAGGAGGAGGAGGGCTCTTGGTAGGGCTCTTAGGGCGGGAGGTCGCGCGTCGCGCCCCCCGTCTCGAAGGAGGAGGGGGGGGGCAGCCAGGGGGGTGGGAGGAGGAGGAGGAGGAGGAGGAAGGAGGAGGAGGAGGAGGAGGAGGAGGAGGAGGAGGAGGAGGAGGAGGGGAAGGTGCTCGAGCTTCGTCGCCGCCGCCGCGCGTCGAGAACGATCTGCTTCATTCGAGGCGCGGCCCCGGAGGTCCCAACACCTCCCCCTGGGCCATGCGCTCGCCCCAGCTCCGTTGCTGATGGTCCCCAGGCCGGGCCACTGGCCCCGCGGGCCGACATCGAAGCAAAACGCCGGGTCGCAACGCCGCCTCGCCGGAGATCTGAGGACCGCATCGAGCGTCGCACGAAACACGACAGGCGACCGACGGCGGGCAGCCGATGGCGCGCCGCGGCCGCGGCGCCTCCGGCGTCGGGCGCTCGCCCGCCGGCCGCGCCGGCACGCTGGGTCCCGTGGCCCGTCGGCCACCCCGAGGGCCAGAGGGGGGAGCCATGGGCGGCAGTGTCGTCCACGAGTTGTCGTCCACGTTGGGGTAGGGGTAGGTAAAGGGGCTCAGGGACAGACCCAGACCCAGACACAGACACAGACACAGCACACACACACAGACACACAGACACACACACAGAGACACAGAGACACACAGACACACACACACAGACACACAGACACACACACACAGACACACACACACACACACACACGAATAGGCACACATCCCAGGATTCCCCATACTTTCCCCTATTGTGTGGGCATTCGTCTTTCCCCCCCACCTCCCACATGTTACCATCTTTTCATGGGAATCGACGAGTCATGGCGTCTGTGTGTTCTTTCCACTCCTGAGTGGGGGAGAAGGCATCTCAGACGGAGGCTGCTCCTCAGAAGGTGCCGGCCCTACATCTACAGACAAGGCCCTCGCCTTCTAAGAGGCAAGGGTGCTTCTGAGAAGCCCTTCCCCGTGGCCGCTATCGGGCCCAGAGACTTCCGGGGAAGCGGTCAGTGCCGCTAGGGCCGCGGATTGAAAAAGCACATCGGCGGATGTCAAGGGATGTGGATGCCCACTCCCTGTCGCCACGGCTGGGTGCGCCGTGAGATCTTGGTCAGGACCACCCAGGAGCTCCAAAGTGGACCGAGAAGCCGGGGGCGCCTTGGACCAGGGGCACCCTTTCGCAACCCCCGACCAGACGTTCACGGATGGCGAACAGATCCGTCTCCGCCCTGGCGGTCTGGACTCCGGGGTGCGATCCCGCGCATACGCGGTCGCAAAGACACGCTCCGCGCGGGGCATCCGCGAACCAACGCCCCGCAATTATCCGCGGGGTCGCGGCCCGGGGGCGTCGGGCCGCGGCTCGGGGGCCCAGGCCGCGCGGCCGCGTGTCTTCGCCCACGAGGAACTGCATCCCTACCCCCCCCCCACGGCCCTCGGGGCAGCCGGCCCGACCGCGGGCACTGGACTGCTCCACGCCGCCCGCCGCGCTGGAGCGCTCCGCGCCGTCCGCGGCGGCCGCGTCGCCGCCCGCGCCAGGGGCGGGGGCGTCCCCGCGGGTGTAGACGGGGCGGAGGGGGGAGCTCTCGGCCCCGCTCCTGGCAGCTCCTCGGCCTCCTTCGTGAGCTGATGCAGCGGATGTCTGCCAAATCCTCCCCCCTCCTCGTTTGTCTAGTTGGCATCCGCCAGCCTCCTCGCCCTCCCGTCCCTGTCTGGCGGCGCGCGCACAAGGGGATGGCGCGACAGGGGCGGCCTGCAGAGAAAGATGCCTGGGGGGGAAGGGTCCTTGAAGGCAGGGGCTTTCTGAAAAGGGCCCTGAAACCTTGAGAATGCTTTTTGTTTACCCTTTGGGCCATACAGCGCGTTGTGTTCTGCCCCCCCCCCCCCCCCGCCCCATCGGGCGGGTGGTAACGGATGGGGGTGACCTGAATGGGGGGTGCAGGAAATGGCCCTACAGCAGCTGGGGCTCCTTTTGGGCCCCCGCTGGGCCCAAAAGAGGCCCTGAAGGTCCTTTTTCTTCCCCCCCCATTTGAGCCACCCCCCATGCCCACCCGCCCGAGCCCCCCCCCTCCCCCAGGGCGCCCGCGGCACTGCCGCGGTGCGTCTGGGAGACCGCGCGCCCGCTCATGCGGACGGGGCTGGGCGCCGAAACATTGACTTGTCTTTGGGGGGGGGGTACTGGGGCCTTGGTGTGGCCTGCGGAACAAAAACACTTTAGAGCCTGCAGATCGGAGCGCCGTCTAGTCCCAACACCAAGTACCGAGTTGCGCCAGGATTGGTTTTTATGCTATGGGCTGTGGGAGGTTGGGTGGGAGCGGCGGTTGGGTGGGACCACATATTCGTTCGACCTGGCCAACTCCTCCTCCTCCTCCTCCTCCTCCTCCTCCTCTCCTCCTCCTCCTCCTCCTCCTCCTCCTCTCCTCCTCCTCAACTCCATCCTCCTCCACCTCCTCGTCCGCCCCCTCCCCGTCCTCCTATTCCTCCTCCCTCTCCCTCCCGCCTCCTCATCCACCCTCCTCCACCTCATTGCTCCCAGACCTCGAGGTCGCGAAAAGTAACGCGGCCGTGAAAAAGCACTGTGAGCACCTGGGCAACCCCACACCACCAATGGCCCCATCTTTGCTGGGTGAGTCTTCGTCAGAACAAGTTTAAACAATTGACCCCCGATTAGGAGACCATTGCGCCAGATCAAGCCAGATAAAGCTTGGGATTATGATCGGGACTGAGCAGGACGGAGCGAGATGAAGCCAGAGCAAGCGGGATTCAACCAAGTTGGGCCAGCCCTCGACCAGGGGTGCACCAGCGCCGATTCTGTATCTACTCCCAGGGATCTGCTGACCCGGGTCAATCCAGACCCAGGTCAGTCGGGCCTTGCAGGATCCTGCAGGATCCTGCACCCAAGCCCAGGTCCATGTAACCCTGGCCCTGCAGAATCCTGCAAGATCCGGCGCTCTGGCTGACTCCCGTTCGCATGGACCCCCGTCTCTGGAGCCCCGAGCTGCCCGAGCTGACCCAGAGCTCCCCCCTCCGGGCTGGGCACCACGGTTTGGCGGCTGACGGCGACCTTGCACACTGGGCACCAGCGCCGCCTGTCCTCCCGCTCCGGCGAGGCACCGCGCCGCGCGCGGCCGTCCTGGCCCCTCGCGCCCGGCGCGCCGCGGAACCGCAGGGGCGTGGTCTCCTCCGCAGGGGGGAGCGGCACTTTCTTGTGATCTCGGCGGCGGGAAAGCTCCCTCCGTCCCCCAGGGCGCCTGGGTCAGGGGCAGTCGCTCGCAGGTGTGCTTGGGCTTCATGTGTCGGGACCCCTCACGGGAGCGGTTCGACAGCACGATCTCCAGGAAGCGGTTCGGCAGACACGTTTCGTGGCTCCAGCGAGCGGTTCGACAGCACGATCTCCGCACCAGGTGGGCGGGGCGTTTCGGAGCGCCGAGGCCCCGAGCGCTGTCTGGCAGTCTCGCCGCAAGCCTCCTGAAGCTCCCCCCCTCCTCAAGTGCACCGCCGCCGCCCCCCCATAGGGAGACAAAATGGTGCTGATACAGTGGAGGCCAGTCCACAAGTAACCTCCCACAAGAAACATACCCCAGGACGTCCATTGCTTTTTGGTGTGGGAGCGTCACGCTTTCCATCGCAAAACCATCGAAACCCAAGAAACCCAAGGCAGTTCGGAGGCAAGCAAAATGTTTCGTGGCATGGGCCTCCACTGTACCGCTGCGCCCTGGACCTCTCCCGGGCTGCGTTGTGACTCGGACTGCGAGGCACGCCCCTGGGGCCTGGCGAAGGCCCTCAGAGGTCGAAAATGGCCCAAAAACAACCTCCCGTCGTGATTTTGTCGCGACGAGTTGGGTTCTGGCGTCCTGGACGCCCCCCACGTTCGAAACCCCTCGGGGGTTGCTAGGTTCCCCTGGCCCAGGATGCCCCCGAGCTTTTCGCGCCATTTTGGAGCCCCTGGGGCCCTGTGAGCCTCGTGAGGGGTCCCTGGAAATTCTGGGGACACCTCGGGCCAGGGGCACTTCCATAGGGTGTTCGTCAACAGGGGGGCATCACACGCGGCGTGAAGAAACGTACACCGTTCGCGCACCTTTCTGGCCCGCGATGGCAGTTAACAGGAGCCATTCAGGCCACTTTCCTGCAGTCCTCCATCCCCCCACGTTTATTGCCGCCACGTGAGCGACGAAACAAAACGGGTCTTACGCGAGGTGGCATGGCGACCTTGCGCGGTGCCTTACGCAGGCCACCAGCGCGCCACGCTACGCTGAAAGCGAGGGCGCTTACGCGCGACCTCACGCGGGCAACTCACGCGCCAACGTCGGCGAAGACGAAACCGCTTTCCTTCGTTGCTCACGCTGCCGTCCGCCCGATTCTAACAGCACCCGAAAACCCCGCGAGAGGCGGGCGAGGCGCGGCGGACGGCCTCCGGCGCCGCCGCGCCCTCGGCGGCCGCGAGCCCCTCGGCGGCGGCGCCCGCGCCCTCGGCCGGCGCGTCCAGCCAGCGGTGCAGGCAGGCCCAGCAGAAGAGGTGGCCGCACCGCGCCACCACGGGCTCCCGGGCCTGCGCCGCCCACGCGGGGGGGGCGGGCGGCAACGCCGTCGTCGAAGGCCCCCTCGTGCCGTGAAGAGTGACAGCGGGCCGTTTTCGGCAGTCTTCGGGCCCCGGGCGCTCTCGCCAGCCCGCAAGCCCAGCAGAGGAGGTGGCCGCACCGCGCCACCCCCGGCGCCCGGGCCTGCGCAGCAACAGCAGGTGGCGACATCCGCGCCCTGCCCCTCCCCCCCCCCCGAAGCCATCGATTGGTTGTTCTCCTCAACCGATGGGAGGCTCACAGTTTTGCCACGTGTTCGACGAATTCCGAATTCCGAACCCCATCCCCGCCGCCCATCGAGTTCAAGGTTCGGAATTTGCCGCCGAAGCAGAAGAGCAAACAACGGCACAACCATGATTTCTCGGAGCTCCGCGCGAACTTCTTGGAGCGGCGCTGGACCCCCCTCCCTGGCGCGCGTAGCACGCCAGGGGCGGCCCTGGAGGCGCCGCCAGGGCGAAGAAGCGTTCACCTTTCGTGCACCTTTGGGGCCCCGGGGGGGGTCTCTTTTGGGCCACGGGGGTATACGAGAGGTGCACCTCTCTTCGCCCCCTCGTTCATCGCCCCCCCATCACGCAACGCCCGAGCACCGCGCTACCACGGGCTCCCTGGCGCCAGTGCGGCAAGAGGGGGGGGGCGGTGTCGTCGTCGAAGATCCTCGCCGTGCTGCAACAAGTGACGACGAGGCAATTTTCGGGCTCTGGGGGCCCTCACCAAGCCGCGAACACTCGGGATGAGAAGCTGGTCCTGGGGAAGTGGACCTGCAGGGGTCCACGTTGTGAGTGAAGCAACACGACGGTGCGAGTGTGTGTGTGTGTGTGTGTGTGTGTGCGTTTTTCCATCTGGGAGTTTTTCCTCGATTTCGGCGTGGATCGGCCCTGGGGCCATCGAACACTGATATGGGGATCCGGGGCGAAACCCTGCAACCAGGGAAGAGGTCGGCACCTCAGGGGCCATGCACCGCGGTGAACATACGTCAAATCGTCGGAGGTCTGGGGGAGGGGTGGGGGAGGGGAGGCGTCGCCATCAGGGGTGATAGGGGCCCACAAAGACAAGGGTCACGGAGGTCTTCTTTTGTGTTGGGCATCCCGGGGCCCTCCCCAGCGGGCCCTGGGGCCGTCAGCCCAGGTTGGAGCGTGGCCCCATCTGCGCCCGGGTGGTGGTGGTGGTGGTGGTGGTGGTGGTGGTGGTGGTGGTGGTGGTGGTGGTGGTGGTAGAGGTGGAAAACAGCGCCCCCCCCCCTCCACATAAATGCCCCCCCCACGTTGCCGTGGTGGTGGACAAATGCTGTCGACTTCGCTGCCCCGTACACTACCCTCCCGCCCATCCCCCCCACCTTGCCTTCCGCGCGAGAGCAGAGGGGGCGGCAGACTTTGACCTGGACATGCGCTTGCCAGGCACGCTCGCAAGACGCCGCTTTTGCCTGGCGAGCTGCACGCGTTACCAGGACAAGACCGTGGCTTCTAACCACACTGGCCTGACCGCGATCGCCGTCCAGAGATGTCCGCCCTTTGTGCTCCCCCCCCCTCCACATTTGCGAGGGGCGCAAGCACCCTGGCCCATGCAATTTTTGGGCCTCTGGTGGCTTTTGTCTTTGGCAAGCGCGTGAGGCTTTGCTTGGCTCCTGGCTGCCCATCGGGGACCTCCGCGGAGCCTCGGGGACCTCCGTAGGGACTTCTAGATCCAACCGCCGCAACAAATTAACCTGACGAAAGACCCAATCATACGTAGTTGTGAATACCGCAATTGTGGATATATTCCTCGGTGGCGCCCCCGGGCCACGAAACGAGTGAGGGGTGTGCCGAAATGGGGGGGTGGAACCGCATGCGAGCGCAGCCACTGGGGCGTTCGGTGGAGCTCCCTATGGGGCCACGAAACGTGTGAGGGGTGTGCCAGAATGGGGGGTGGAACCGCATGCGGGCGCAGCCACTGGGGCCTTCGGTGGAGCTCCCTATGGGGCCACGAAACGTGTGAGGGGTGTGCCAGAATGGGGGGTGGAACCGCATGCGGGCGCAGCCACTGGGGCCTTCGGTGGAGCTCCCTATGGGGCCACGAAACGTGTGAGGGGTGTGCCAGAACGGGGGGTGGAACCGCATGCGGGCGCAGCCACTGGGGCCTTCGGTGGAGCTCCCTATGGGGCCACGAAACGTGTGAGGGGTGTGCCAGAATGGGGGGTGGAACCGCATGCGGGCGCAGCCACTGGGGCCTTCGGTGGAGCTCCCTATGGGGCCACGAAACGTGTGAGGGGTGTGCCAGGATGGGGGGTGGAACCGCATGCGGGCGCAGCCACTGGGGCCTCGGTGGAGCTCCCATGGGGCCACGAAGCGTGTGAGGGGTGCCAGAATGGGGGGTGGAACCGCATGCGGGCGCAGCCACTGGGGCCTTCGGTGGAGCTCCCTATGGGGCCACGAAACGTGTGAGGGGTGTGCCCTGGGGCCATGCGGCGCAGCCACTGGGGCCTTCGGTGGAGCTCCCTATGGGCCAACGAAACGTGTGAGGGGTGTGCCAGAATGGGGGTGGAACCGCATGCGGGCGCAGCCACTGGGGCCTTCGGTGGAGCTCCCTATGGGGCCACGAAACGTGTGAGGGGTGTGCCAGAATGGGGGGTGGAACCGCATGCGGGCGCAGCCACTGGGGCCTTCGGTGGAGCTCCCTATGGGGCCACGAAACGTGTGAGGGGTGTGCCAGAATGGGGGGTGGAACCGCATGCGGGCGCAGCCACTGGGGCCTTCGGTGGAGCTCCCTATGGGGCCACGAAACGTGTGAGGGGTGTGCCAGAATGGGGGGTGGAACCGCATGCGGGCGCAGCCACTGGGGCCTTCGGTGGAGCTCCCTATGGGGCCACGAAACGTGTGAGGGGTGTGCCAGAATGGGGGGTGGAACCGCATGCGGGCGCAGCCACTGGGGCCTTCGGTGGAGCTCCCTATGGGGCCACGAAACGTGTGAGGGGTGTGCCAGAATGGGGGGTGGAACCGCATGCGGGCGCAGCCACTGGGGCCTTCGGTGGAGCTCCCTATGGGGCCACGAACGTGTGAGGGGTGTGCCAAAATGGGGGTGGAACCGCATGCGGGCGCAGCCACTGGGGCCTTCGGTGGAGCTCCCTATGGGGCCACGAAACGTGTGAGGGGTGTGCCAGAATGGGGGGTGGAACCGCATGCGGGCGCAGCCACTGGGGCCTTCGGTGGAGCTCCCTATGGGGCCACGAAACGTGTGAGGGGTGTGCCAGAATGGGGGGTGGAACCGCATGCGGGCGCAGCCACTGGGGCCTTCGGTGGAGCTCCCTATGGGGCCACGAAACGTGTGAGGGGTGTGCCAGAATGGGTGTGGGAGGGGGAGGAGGGGGGAGGAAGGGGAGGAGGAGGAAGGAGGAAGGAGGAAGGAAGGAACGCGGGGACCGTCTCTTCAAAACGAGGACCCAACAACACAGGTTGGTTGAGAAAAAAAAAACAAGCACGTAGGGACTTACACACCCAAGGGACTTGCATGTCCAGGCGCTGCAAAGAAAACGCCTCCAGGAGCCCGGAGAACCAGAGACGAACTGCCCGCGACTAGAAACTTGCCCATGGGACGGGGGGGGAGCTCCGAAGACCCACGTCGTGAAAAGCTGCGACGGCGGAGCTCCAATGACGAAGAGGACGCCTGCTATAAACATTCACCGACGCTGGGCCATGACTGACAGGGCCAGCCTGGCCATGCAGATTAAGGGGTCCCCAACTGGAGACCAATTGTGATAACCGACCTGTCCTCCATCCCCCTATAACCATTGGAAGCTTTTACGACTGACGCACAAGGCGCTCAGGCAAGAACCACGTCTTAGACAATTCTCGCCCTCCATCCGCTCGACTAGATAACAGACACTTCGGGGCTTTGGGAGCATGTGCGGTGCAGAAGTCTCAAGCAAGAAGCCCATCCCGCCCAGCGGACAGGCATGGTGGTGCGACGATGCCTTCGTTGAGGAAGGAGGGACACTGTGATTCAGATTTAGAAGCCTGTGGAGACGAGGGCAAGCCTGGGCGCTGACAACATCAAGGCGGAACTCTAAACTCGTCGCCCCTTTGGGGTCCTGCCTGGGCCACCAGCGTGACCTCTGAACTCGTCAAAGAGCTTGGGGGAAAAGCACGCATGCCCCTGTAATCATCCGGATTTGCCTGAAAGGCACGAGGGGCGGGACCGGGACGAGGAAGTGGGGGTCCCAAACCCGTGTGATGACAGCGACGCAAACGGCTCACCACACGCGGAGTAGGGGATCGGCTACAGAATTGATCAGCCCCAATATTGAGTTGCCCGTCGAATCTGCGTAGAAAGCCCCGGAAATCTACGGAGCATTCTACGCACTGTCCGCAGATTCGACTAAACACCAATATTAGGCCCATCGGTTCTGCAATCGATCCCCTCTTCGAACACGTCTCACCATATGGTCACCACACCGTCGGGCGAAGGAGGAGGGCCAGCCCCAAGGGGGGCCTGCGCGAGGCAGATATTGCACTCGTGCGGCATCGCCGAGGCGCGCCCCGGCCTGCGCGCGCGGCCATGTGGGGCACGCCGCCGCGCGCCCGCCTCCCCCCCCCCTGGAGCCCACCGTGGAGGAGGAGGGCACGCGGGACACCTTGCCGTCGCTGGGGCGCCCGCTGCCCGTGCATTCCTCGGTTTTGTGCGCGTCTTTTTTCTGGATGGTTCAGGATGCTCCTCGATGGTCCTCGCCGCGAGGAACTTCGCACGTCCGAGCGATGCCAAGAGATCGGATCGGATGGGAGCGTGCGCCGCATCGGGCCGCAGCGGGCGATGCAGTCGACACCGCATCGCACCGGCTGCGCGGCGGTGCACAACTGCGCCGTGCAAACATCTGGTTTGCATCGGATCGCCGGGAAATCGAAGTCGCTTCGGATCGAGCCGGGTGAGCTCGGCATCGAATCGGACCGACGGGATGGAAATGGACCCTGGATGGGGGGACGCGGCACGAGATCGAGCGAACGTGCCACGGTTGATCCAGCCATGTGCAGCAAGAACCCTGCCGTGGAAACGTGCTCCCGCAGAAGGAAACAACTTTGCATCAAGAATTGGGGGGCCACTTCGCATACACCCCCCCGCACTTGACATTGAGCAATTGGTCCCAGAGATGAGCGGCCGGACAAAATCTGAACTCGAGATATCGATCGCAATGCATTCCAATATTAAGGCTGGGGGGTGGAGGGTGGAAATTCGCTTCTTTTTCGTCGGAGCGTTCTTGATGAACAAAAATGTTCCTTCAGCCGTCGGACGCTCAAAAGCAGGGAACCGTGCGAGGACAAGCGGGAAGGCCCAACAAGCTGAGCAGAATGACGCCAAGCGCGTACCGTCTCCCATGGGCGGCTGGTCCTGATATCCGAAAGAGCGTGTTCTACCGCTACTGGCGGAAAACCGGGGGGGGTCACTACCGGTTCGAACCCCTCCCCCCCCCCCCCCCTCCGGAAAACCGGGGGGGGTCACTACCGGTTCGAACCCCTTCCCCCCCCCCCCAGCTCATCATGAAAAGGGGGGGGGGTCACTACCGGTTCGAACCCCCCCCCCCCCTCGAAAACCGAGTGGGGGTGCGGACAGTGGTGGGGACGGTGTTGGTGGGGACAGTGGTGAGGGGACAGCGGGACAGTGGTGGGGACAGCGGGGGGACAGTGGGACAGTGGTGGGGACGGTAGTGGTGGGGACAGTGGTGGGGACAATGGTGGGAACAGGGGGGACAGTGGACAGTGGTGGGAACGGTGGTGGTGGGGACAGTGGTGTGGGGACAGTGGGAATGAGGTGGAAACACTGGGACAGTGGAGGGTACAATGGTGGTGGGGACACTGGTAAAGGCGGTGGCGAGGACGGCGGTGGGACAATGGGACAGAGGTACAGTGGGGACAGTGGTGGGGACAGTGGGGACAGTGGTGGAAACAGTGGGACAGCTCAGTGGGACAGCGGAGGAGTCAGTGGGACAGTGGGGACAATGGGGATAGGCAGTGGTTGGGTCCGTGGAGACAGTGGGGAGAGTGGAACCGTGGTGGGAACAGTTGTGGGGAACAGTGGGGACAGTGCGACAGTGGTGGGGGCATGGTGGGGACAATAGGGACGGTGGTGGAACCAGTGGGGACAGTGGTGGTGAGGACAGTGGTGCTGGGAACAACAGTGGGGGATGTGATGCGAGCGGTGGTAGGGACCGGGAGTCGTTTGCTGGCGGTGCGTGGGGGGGGGGTCGAACCGGTAGTGACCCCCTCCGGTTTTCGAGGGGGGGGGGGGTTCCAACCGGTAGTGACCCCCCCCGGTTTTCCGGATCCGGAGGGGGGGGGGGGGGGAGGGGTTCGAACCGGTAGTGACCCCCCCCCGGTTTTCGAGGGGGAGGGGGGGGGGAGGGGTTAGGGGGGGGGGGGGTTTTGCTGGGAGGAGGGGGGGGGGGGGGGGGAGGGGTTTCCGGCAGGGGGGGGGGGGATTTTCGGAGGGGGGGGGGGAGACCCCCGGGTTCCGGAGGAAAAGGTAGTTGAGAATAGGAATGGGATGTAGGAGAGATCTTTTCCAGTACGTGTGAAACAAAGCTTGATTCTCTGACTCGAGCCTAATGGTTACGGTGAGGGCTGGCCGCAACGCGCGCGTAGCAGAGGTCACCTGGCTGGGAATATACCTTTCGACTCTGGTACTTCTCCTTTGGTGGCTGTAAGCGCCACAGACACCACAGTTCCTTGGAAAATATCGCTGCGCTCTCTGTTCCAAAAACACAGCAAAGGAAAATGGCATCCAGCACTCAGAAAAGGAAGCTCCAGCCATCACTCACATGTACCTCTGTTTCTTCTTCGGATGCCTCGACGGGTTGCTCCACGGAGCCCTCGTGGGGCACTCATTACCCCAATGGCCCAACTTGCCGCACACGCGGCACTGGCCCGGCTGCAGCGCCCCACTCGGCTTCGAACCGTCGCTGGGCGCAGGGCGCTTCGGCGCTGCGCGCGTGGCCCACGGGGACGCCGTTGGGCCAGGCGCGGCCTTCGGCGCTGCCGTCACCACTGGCCGGAGCGGCACCGATCCGCTCGTGGCCTGGCCGGCCTTCGGCGCAGCAGTCGGGCCAAGCGGGCCCAACCGGAGTGGGTCCGATCCACTCTCGGCGTCTACGCGCCTTGGCTGCGCCGGCCGAGACTTAGGCTGAGCCCCGACAAACTCCGGAGCTTGCTCCTGCTTCGCCGCTGCCCGTGCGCGGAGTCGGTTGTACAGCTCCCGGAGGTCGGTGTCGTGCTCGTTCTTCTTGTCGTCGACGTCGCGGTCGTACTTCCGCTTCTCCTCTTCGTGCCTCCAATGCCTGACGCGGTTGTTGGCTGGCTCGCCGTCCGTGTCGGAGTCGCACTCGCGCTTGAGGTCCGCCTCGTGCATGTGCTTCTGCCACTTCTCCGGGTATTTCTCCACGAGCGCTGTCAACCACGTGAACTCGTCGTCCCGGTACTTCCGCAGCAGACTGTCCAACCTCGATACATTGTCGGGGTTGAGCTTTTCGTAAGCGACGGTCATCACCTCGCGCCACTCCCGTGCGCCAGGGCGCGGGGGCGTGTCCAAGCGCTTGGCGACGCGTACCACGCGACGCAGCGTCCATGGCTCCATGTCGTCGTCCTGCTCCTCCTTGGCGACGACGCGCGCGGGGTAGAAGAGCTGCACCTGCGGCCGGACTGTCGGGAACACCTTCACCTTGTCCTTCTGCACGATCTTCCACGTCCCCGTCCTGAGCGCTGTAAGGAGGGCGTCCCGGGCGACCTTGCCCTTCGTAAGGGCGTCTGCGAGCATGTCCCGGGTGTCGATCCAGCGCAACTCCCAGACGCGGCCTGCGAGCAAGTGCTGCTTGAGCGCCTTGATCTCGTAGAGCATCTGCTGCTCCGTGGGGCATTTCGTGCTCTCGTTCGCGATCGCTGCGAACACCGACATGGCATCCACGTACAGCACGATCTTGATGTCGAACTCGCACGCCTCCAGCCGGCGACTCAATTCAGCTGCAGACGCGGTCCCGTAGAAGACCTCCTGGAAGAAGCCAGCCAGAAGCATGCCCTCCTCTGCGGCTTCGCTGAGATTGTGCATCTCTGCCGCGAACGTGCTCCTGCAAACCCGCGTCTGCTTCCGCGACCAGAAGTCAATCGCCAGGAAGCTGTCGTCCAAGGTGCCACCAAGGCCTGCGAGCAGACCCCGGAGAGCCAGACAGTCGGGATCAGCAGCCTTGAAGGCGCTATCCCCGGGAATTCTCAATACCGGCTCGCCCCTGATCCCGTGGTACTTGATGCAGCTCTTCTGCTTCTTGAGCCACTTCAGGAGCTTATTGAGGTCGTGCACGTCGCGGCAGCGAGGCGCCGTGTTGGCATCGCTGCACCTTTGCAGGTAGCCAACGAAGACCAAGCCATCGGCGCGGCACATTGTCACCCAGGCCACGCCACCGCGCAAGCTCATGAACTGCTGGTGGACGTCCTGGGGCACCTGTTCCTCCTCCTTGAGTGTCCCCAGAGCTGGGTGCACTATCGGGCGCAACTGGGACAAGTAGTGGTCCTGGCTGCACTCGATGTCGTGGAGGTTATGCGGGTTCTGTGTGTGCATGACACCGCAGCACTCGAAGATGCCGTACTTCCGGTCTTTGATCGGCCCAAACGCCCGCTCCAACACCTGAAGCAAGATCCTGTGATGCTTGCCGTCTGTGTGGTCGCAACCCTTGAGGTCGTCGACGTGGGCGGATACAGCCTGAACCAATACTTTCTTCTTCGTGTTCTGGTCCGTCTCGTGCTTCACGTACATCAGGGGCTGCGCCTGGGTAGGACGCAAGCCGGCCTCCCGCAGCACCTCGTCCAGCTTGAGGCTGAAAGCGCGTGGGGCCACAGTGGAGCCCATGACGGGCTTGTCTGGCTCCAATACCTCCAACACCGGGTCGAAGGACTCGAAGCCGGGAATCTGCCTCAGCAGGGGCACCGTGCCCGGAGGCAGCTCCAACTGCATGTCCATCTCTGGCACCCCCGTCTTGTCGCTGAGCTCCTTGAAAGTGAGGCCCCGGAGAAACGCCTTAGGCACGTCCAACATCCACAACTGGTGGCCGTGAATGGCCGCCACTGCGGTCAGGGCTCGCTGTCCCCAGCGAGAGGCTGTCCCCGAGTACGTGTCCATCACGTCCTTGAGCCTGTCCTTGAAGCCCCGGGCCGTGAGCCGTGCTTGTACGGCACGCGCCTTGTCGATGATCTTCCACTTGACCACCCACCGCATGTCCACGATGTTGCTGGCACCCTTCCTTGGGCACCTCCTCATGTTGCACAGCTTGATCCACTCCTTGAGCTCGCTCAACATTGCTGCGTTCACCTCGGGGCGGTGTTCCTGCATCTCCGCCGGAGACAGCAGAGGCAAGTCACGTTCAATGACTGCCTGTGGCTTTCTTGCCCCCGAAACCATCCACGCTGCCACGTGGCCGTCGGGAATGCTGCTTACCCCGAGGCTGTCCATGAAGTGGTCCAAGAAGATGCCGTCGACCTCAAGGAGCGCCTTGTTCCGCTCCTCGTCGCTGTACGGCACGTGCTCGCCAATACCTGATGACACGAAGTACGTCGCATCCGGGGGAGAT